AAGTTTGATCGTTTCCAGATTTGCAAAACACCCTTTCCAGAACAACCAAAAATTATAAAATGTGTAAAAATGATAATTTTTAGCATCATATGTGCTTTCAGGTTGTCACATTCTTTGTATTGGTATGGTTTCTCCCTACTATGCACTCTCATATGTGTTTTCAGGTTGTCAAAAACACTTGTTACATTCTTTACACTGGTATGGTTGTTTACCAGTATGAGCCGTCGTGGTCGTTTTCAGCTGGCCTTTCATGGCCAAAAAAACACTTGTTACATTCTTTACACTGGCATGGTTGCTTAGCAGTATGCAGCCTCCGGTGTGTTTTCAGGAAGCATTTCTGAGTGAAACACTCGATCAAAACATTCTTTACACAGGTATGGTTGCTCACCAGTATATGCACTCTTTTTTTTTTTTAATTCCCATACAGAAAATGCCACACTACACAGTTGTATTGCAAGGTGGAAATAACTTTGCAGAATGGATACTCGTTACATCTTGAAACAAGCTTTGGACCCCCTCCCCCTATACTGCAGATCACAAAATAACCTGTGTCAGAGAAACGAAAAGAAAACTTGAAAACAAAACAAAATGGCCGACAGTCAGCCATTTTGAATTAAATTGTGAAACAAAACAACAGTCAGTAAACAACCATGTATGATGTAAAATACCAAGTTCAAATGAAATGGCTAATGCATGCTGGAGAAACGGTTGATGAAATGTTACAACGCTGATTTTTGTTGTTTTTGAAGACAAAAATGGTTGCCTGTTGGTCAAAATTAATAAAATGTAAAACAAATCACCATGCATCAGTAGACCACTGCCATCGCTTTCAACAAAATCAGACTAGATATGTCAGTGACACACTTTTGAACTATACATCCAACAGATACTTAAAAGTAAAAAAAAATTTAATTAAAAAAAAATGAGTGACGTCATACTTTGGGTTATTGCAGTGTCTTTCTAGTGATGAAACACCTCCTCCACATGTTCTTGAACACTGTCCCCATGACGACCATTGGCTCCATTCTCCATCTACAGCTTGGGGTTTATAACCATACGGTTCACAACTTCCTTGGTAGCACCACTATGGAGTGTACATAAACAGAGGTACAGTTAGTTATAACGATCTTTCTAAATTTAAAAATAATTATGCTCATAAACCATCAAATGCAAATTTGCAAAGGTCAATATTATAATTCAGAGAAAATATGATTATATAAAATCGGATTACAAAATATAATAAACCTTTCTTATAAATTGCACCGTCTAGCGATAAAGCGATTCTATGATATAAATGGGAGAAATGAAGGCCTTTCTGAGTTTGAAGGACATGTCACTTTCATTTCATACATTTCATTTTGGGACAAATACAAACAACTTTCTATTGACTACAGTTTTGGTATGAATTTTGTGAAAACAAGACCTGCAATGCCACATCCCGATTTCTGATATGTACCCTTATACTGGTGATCTGTTCAGCAACCAGTGTTAATGGGTAATTTTAATTGGCAATCACTAATTAATTAATTAATGAATAATTTAGCGAGTATAGGTTGTTATGACTATGTTCATCACTTATCACTGTGTTCATCAAACTGTTTCTAGGCGATCAATTTCTTTTTATTAAGAATATTAAGAGAAAAAAAACATGAAGCTGTGTGAATGGATTGAAACCACTGATGTAATTAAACAAGCAGCCTCTCGACTGAGATAGCTCCGCTGTTAGCAATGCACATTTCAATTATAGAACAGAAGATATGATTAGAAAATGAACAATATGTATAGTTTCAAAACAATCAGACTTGCGGTTTTCAACAAGAAGTTGAAAATATCACAAATTGCGTAAACAAGGGGTGAACATGAAAGTCGTGTAATTTTTCATCATAAATCACAACAGACTACAATCAAATCTGAATTAGAAAATATATGACCCCGCGTAACCGAGTCGCAGATTTTTCTTTGCCTTGTCTGTCATTTGCGTCTTTGCTTTCTTACTTTTCATCACCATTGCGTTAGTAAGATGGTGTTATTATTACCACAGCAATAGCTACGGTGACTACGACTCCAATCATATTTGAATTTTCATAAGCGAGTATAAAAACCATGTTTATGCAATGCCGTGTTTATGCAATGAGATATGTTGTAGTTGTGTTCAATGTGGTGATAAAGGTCGAAAGCTTAAACAAAGTATTTATTAACTCATAACAACCTACTAGAGGAGGTTAAAGGTTACAAAAGAAAATTACAAATAAAAATTAATCAAATTACAATGGCTAATAGTTTAAAGGAAATATATAATAAAATAAAATGAAACACCAACAAAAAACTATAAACTGAATATAAAAACAACAAGTCATTGAAAATAACACAGTTCCCGTTCAAACTGTACAAATAAATCCTCATGTACCAAACTTGGTCTTGACAATATTCAAGAAATATATTTACGTGGTGAAATACAAAAACAGTGTACATTCTGAGTATGACAAATAGGAATAAACAAAAGAAAATGGTTTACAGTACACTGATCAAGTATGGGTACCGGTACTTTCAAAACATTTTTCAATGCAGTGTCTAATGTCTGAAACGCAGTGACAAGGTCAAAGTCAACTTCAGAAAGGCACCCAGAATGATTTTGTTCGAATGAAATGCAGCTATTTAAATCAGCAAGCAACCTGTAAATACATACTGGAATGACTTGTTAAGTTTTAAATAAAATATGTCTCATATCTAGTATGTTATCAATAGACATACTGCTAGCAGTACTGACATATTAGCAGTATCCATAATCATTGAATATACCAAGGTTACAAGACTCCAGAGGTGATACCTGAATATATTTCAGTGAACCTTAATGAGCATAACCTGCAATCATTAATTTATCTTGACCCGTTATTTCACAGTTTGAAGTAGGACGGACGGACCAGCACTGCCTTCTATATCATCACTTAGCAACAGAATCATTCTCTTACTGTACAAATAAAGTTGCATAAATTCACACAGAAAA